CCCTTTCCCATTCTATATCTGTGAGACCAGGGCAGAGGCCCAGATACCTGACACATGCTAGGCCACAAGACCCCCTGCCATGGGGCTGCTCTGGGGCAGTGGCTGCTCAGGACCTGCTGTGCAGCTGTGCCCATGGTTATGAGACGTGTGGGTCCTCTGATGTCTCGTGAGATGTGAGCTCTGGCTGAAGCGTCTCCCGCAGACGGTGCAGATATAGGGTCTCTGGCCCACATGAGTTCTCTGGTGCCGAGTGAGGTTGGAGCTGTCGCTGAAGCGTCGCCCACACTCGGTGCAGATGTAAGGTCTCTCCCCGGTGTGAGTTCTCTGGTGCATCATGAGGACCGAGCTCTGGCTGAAGCTCCTACCACAGGCAGTGCAGACAAAAGGTTTCTGGCCGGCGTGCATCCTCCGGTGTTTTGTGAGAGCTGAGCTGTCGCCAAGTCTTTTCCCACACTCATCACAGGTCCAGCGTTTCTTGCTCGCGTGGACTCTTTGTGGTGTAATAAGGGCAGAGCCGACACTGATGCCCTTCCCACTCTTGGTGCGCTTATGAGCTTGTTCTGCCGGGTTGTGTTCCCCAGGGCAATGCTGCCCATTCTTTGTCTTGTGTTTTGGTTGCTCTCCTGAGTGACATGTTTCGCCTTTGTCGTCACCACTGGCCTTGCCATCGGCTGGAACAAGAGAAGAAGGTGGGATTAATTCCCTGAGCAGGAGAAGGAGTTTGGGGCAGGGGAACCACAAAGGGCTCCTCGCCTGCTCACCCCACCAACAGGGCTGGGGATCAAGGTTTAGGTCCCCCAAACCCTCCCCCAGGGGGGGCTGGTTCTGTCTCAGTCTCCTCAGGTGAGAAGAAGGGTCATTGAGAATGGGAGGGAGCATGAGTAACATGCACCCTGATGGGATGACGCCTGCTGGGGGGTGACACTGAGCCAGGGATGCAGGAAATGGCCCAGGAAATATCTGACACCCCCCCGCAAACCTTCCAGAGACACTTGCCCCCCAGCAAAGCGGCCACAAGCTCACCCTCCCTCCCTACCCCTACCCCTCTCATCCTGCCTCTCCCTCAACAAACCAGATGCCCTACCAGAGAGAACACCTTCTGGGAAAGCAGCTGCCCTCTCTGAGTTTCCCCCATCCTCCCCAACGTGCACATGAGTTAATTAACTCCCCACTAGCCCTGCGAGGGGCCTGACACGTCTGGTGGCACCAGGCCTCATTGTGACCCACCCCTCTCACAGGATACATCTAGTCTGACCTCCTGGCCATTACATTTCACCCAGTTACCCCATTCTCAACACAATAACTTGTGTTTGACTAAAGCATCTTCCAGAAAGGGGTCCCTCTGGATTTGCAGACATCGAGAGAGGGAGACTCCATCTCTTCCATTGGGAGTTTGTTCCAATGGTTAATCATCCTCACTGTTAAGAATTTGTGCCTTATTTCTAATTAGAATTTGCCAGGGTTCACCTTCCAGCCATTGGCTCTTGTTCTGCCATTCTCTGCTACATTAAAGAGCTCTTTAGAACCCAGTATTTTCTTCCCAAGAAGGTACTTGCACACTTTAATCAAGTCACCCCTCAATCTTCTTTTATACAGGGAGTCCTCGGACTTACGACACAATTCGTTCCTCAAAATTGCATTGCAAGTCGAAACCGTTTTCCCCATAGGAATCAATGGTATAAAGGGGAGATTGGTTTCTGAACCAAGGCTTGATACACTATTTTCACCACAATAACCCAGATGTTTGTACTAAATGAATTATAGATGACTAATGTTGCAACATCAATGTATTTACTGTAGGCTGTATTTTGTAAACAGCATTAAAATAAACATATAAATTCACATATGCTTTGACCCAGAAAACCCGCAACACAGGCTCAGAAAGCCAGGGAGATTGGCACACATGCTGAGCCTCAGCCAATCACCAGTGATTGACTGAGCCCGGGGCCAGGAGCCAATCAAAAACAAGCAGCAACCCTGCCAAGCCACAAGCTACCCTGCTGCCTCAAAGCCAATCAGAAGTGACCCCTTCCAGCTCCACACCAGTACTGTATAACAGCAACCAGGAAGTGATTTCAAGAGAACTTTATGCAACGTAAGGGCAAAACAAGTGTTGTAGGGGCGAAACAGGCAGTCAATTGAAAAGCGTCATAAGTGGCGTCCGACAAAAATTGGGCATTGTAAGTCCAAGGACTCCCTCTATAAGTTAAACACTGAGCTCTCACGGTCAGGCATTTTGAATAACTTTTCAGAGTGGTAGCCGTGTTAGTCTGTATCAGCAAAAAGAACGAGGAGTACTTGTGGCTTTTTGAATAACTTTTGTGGCTCTTCTCTACGCTCTCTCCAATTTGTCAACATTCTTTTTCCAATGTGAACATCAGATCTGGCCGCTGTATACCAGCATCCGTCTCACCATTCCCTGCTCCTACTTGTTACTCCCATTTATACATCCACGGATCATATTAGCCCTCAGCCCCTGGCATCTGGTTGGCAGAGCTTCAAGCCACCCCTGTAACTGTTAATAGTTGAAAGAACCTACAGTCACTAACACTCTGCTCAGCACAAACCCCTCCCCCTCCCGCACCAGTATTCTGCAGAGCAGCCCCCTCAGCTCTGCCCATCCTCCCAGTACAGTTCAAAATGCTGACACCCTGAATGACTTCTTTCCCAGACCAAAAAGAAATAAATAAATAAAGGGAATGGGGGTCTCAGAGAGAAAAGGAAGGAAGATGCAGGAGGCACAGATCCCATGGCATGAGGGGAAGAAGACTCTAGGGGGGCACACAGAACCCTCAGCATGGGATTGGGGGGTTCAGATGGCCCCAGACATGGGGCTGCAGACAGTCTCTAAAATAGAGGGGGATGGGAGAGCGGCATCCAGGGAGCTTGTTGAGGGGAATGGGGAGGGCTGCAAGGAGCCATTGCTCTCCCCTGAGCGAGCCAGCAACCCCATTTCTCAAACATGCTCTGCCCTGGGCCTTCCCCTTTCTGCCTCCCCATCAGTGACCCATAGCCCACCATGCCCTGGACCCAACTTATTACCTATTTCCTGGAGGGGCTGGTGCTCCTCTTTGGGGATATGAGGCAGCTTGTACAGGGATCCTGAAGCTTCATTCCATCCCCCGTCCTGGGATGCACACCCGGGATGGGGCTGTGGCTGCTCTAGTCTGGAGCCAGCAGATTCCCATAGTGCCCCAGGGGACGCTTTTTCTTCTGAGGCCACTTCCTCAACCTTTACACGCACCATGACCTGGGTATGAATCAAACATGTAATGAGAGAGCCAGGGCCTGGGGCCTGCTGTGGAGAGTGGGGTCTGAGAGGGGAGACACCAGGGAATGTCCCCCAAGGACACAGCGACAGGGGAGGGCAGCACAGATCCACCCACAAACCCAGGGATTGACAAGAAGTGCTGCAGGGGCTAATGGGGATGAGTGGCCAATAGTCCTGGCTCTGCTACTGCATGCTTAGCAGCTCCCATGGGGCTGGGCTGGCAACACAGGGGCAACAGGGACCACAGAAGTGAGCCCCATGGTCCTGGTTCATACACAGATGTAGCATAGTCTGTTTCCCACCCCCCATCCCCTCAGTGGAATAATCAGGGTTAAATGCTCTCACCTGTAGCCCTGGCCCCTCAAACTCTGGCTCCCTCAGCTGGAACCCCTCTGCCAGGGCCACCGCCTGGGCACAGGTTTCAGGGCCACGTTCCCAGACCCAGCTCTGCATTTCCTCTGGCAGTACGGTTAGTAACTGCTCCAGGATCAGCAGCTCCAGGATCTGCTCCTTGGTGCGGCTCTGCGGCTCCAGCCAGCCATGGCAGAGCTCCTGGAGGTGGCTGTAAGCCTCCTGGGGCCCCTTGGCCTCCTGGTAGTGGAACTGCCTGAAGCGCCGACGCCGCGTCTCTATGTGGGTGTCATCCCCACGGAGGGTGGCTGGCTCTTTCTGTGGCTCCTGCTTGACCCATCGTGGTGCTGCCCATCTCAGTAGCCCCCCAATGGTACCAGCCTGGATGACACAAAGGGCTTTTTCTGCCCCTTCCGCTCTCTCCCCTGGCTTGGGGCTGACTGGGTTCTGCTCTTCCATTTTCACTGGGGGCTGCATTCCCTGCTGTAGTGGTGCCTGGAGCTGGAAACCCAAAGCTGCACTTGCACCCAGCTCAGCAGCCATTGTCTGTCCTTGGAACGACTGCAATTCCAACTCAGGAATAAACCCGGTTGCTCACTTGTAGGGCCTGTAGGAACATCGGCTCTCCAGGCAGCCTGCAGCAAAGGATCCAACATGGATTTTTCTGTGTGATGGAAGAATGAGAGCCAACCCATAACCCCAGGTCCCTGCTCTTGCTCAGAACAGACAGGCCCCTCTCTGACCACCCTGGCCCATTCCCCCACATAACCCGAGCTCCCTGGCCCCACTCAGCATGACAGGCCCCTCCCTGAACCTCTTGCAGAGTGGGGTGCATTTAGGTCCCTCCCCCAGAGCCAATCCATCAATTTTGTTTTGTGTCTCATCACAGTGATGAGCATGTGAGATCTCAGGGGGATGTTGGGCTGCTTGCCGGGGGTCCTGACAAGGTGGTAGGTCACCCGCTGAATTTATTAGTAAGTCTTATAGGGAGCACCGGGAGGACGATCCTGAACCATTTGTCTTCCCTGACGGGTATTCCTGCAAGAGGTGACGATTTGGCCCCTTTAGGAAAACCAGGCACTGAACCTTAAATTTAGCCACAGAGGACAGGCAAAAGGCCTTGTGGTCTTGACCATTTTCACTTCCTCTTTATTCTTCTTTTGTTTACTGTTTATACAGCCCCTAGCACAGCATGGTCCTGGTCCATGACTGGGGCTCCTCATAGTGCTACTTCAATACAAATAATAATACTTACAAAAAACACATGAAAAGAACTTTATTTAGGTTCCAAAGTTGAGTACTCAGGGTTAGGAAATGCTGGGTTGTACGAACAGCCTGAACTTCATCCTCTTTGTGTGCCGGATGAGGCAGGGGGTCCTGTGGAATAAATAGCACGTGATCATGTACCATAAAGAAGATTGCACCATCACGCCCACGGCTTGGGAACAACCACCCATCATGACCGCCTGGGCTCAGTCTGAAAGTGTGCTCCCAGCTGGGTTTCGCCATGATTAAACTTTGTAATATGCACAAGCAAAATGAGGCCTGGTCTACCCACAGAGCTGCAGTAGTTTAACTAATGGTAAGACTCCCAGCTCAGACACTTCTCCAATCTTCCCCTGGAGTGCTGGCAGCAGCCCCTCTGAATCATTTGATGCTACTACTACAGACCACCACCATGGGGCACAGAGGGGACAGAGTCCCTGTTGCAGAGCTGCTGCCCCAACTCCCAGCCCCCATGCTGGGCTGGAGTTGGGGGTGGGAGGGTTGCTCTGGCTCTCCAGACCAGGGGTTGGTCTCACCCAGAGAGGAGCAAGGATAGACCAGGAACTAGCATCTCGGGACAGGGCCCCTGCACCCACAGTGCCACACTCAGTCTCCGAGCTCCTCCACCTACCTAACCACAGGGATGTGCCAGGCTCTGCTCTGCGGTGAAAGGCTCCCTAGGACCTCCTCAGAATCAGAGTCAATCCACAAGGAGCTTTTGCAATGGAGGGCACCCAGTTCTGTTGCTGTGGCAGAAACTGTCTGTCCGGGCAGATTGTAATCAGCAGCTGAATGTGCTCCTCCCCCCTGCAGCCAGCCAGCAATAGGGAGGGGAATGTGGAAGTAAAGAGCAGCCCCGAGAAATGGAATGATAACAGGATGTTCCTGGCAGGAAGGGGAAGTCTAGTGCAGCGGTTCTCGCAACAAAATTTTTGGTGGCATCAGAGTGCGGCCACCAGCTCTTGCTGCTGGCCGCACTGACACTTTTCCCTAAAATTATTGATTTTTCCTAAAGTTAATAAAGTAATATGCACATACAGTATATACATCCAAATCATTGTAGTTTATTTATGTAAGGTTTGGGGTTTTTTTGCAGACTCAATAATAAAAATCATGCACAATTATCTCTATTCTTTACTGGACCTAACAGAATAGAAACACAAATAAGGTGCTTTGCATGTTCCTGTCTTTTTTATTATTGTTTCTTTAGCTTTTTTGGTAAAAGTGGTTGTCTGTATAACAATTTTGAAGTAAATTTAGAAATGCTTTGACATGATAGAAGTCCAAATAATAATGAAAAACATGTCTGGGTGGCTTGGGTCTGGGGAGGGGAGGATAGGTACGGTTGCGGCTGCAGCTGCATCACACTTTCCTTTTTGGGAATAGCACTAGATTCTGTTCCAGGTTATAAAGGAATAAATTACTATAATGAAGAGATACTGCAGAGTTTAATTAACGGTGAGGAAAAATGGTCTAAGCAAGCCACGGTGAGACATTAGAACTTACATTTACCAAAGGAAGAGATGAGCAAATACAGAGGGCTTTGCAGAGAGCAGGTGTTGTTATGTGTACCGTAGCAATATCATAAATGCTTACAAATTTGGGCAGTGCCGGCTAGAAAGGCTTACAAAGTGCTCCAGTTGGGCAGAACTACATGCAGCTCAGACATCGGGGATCTCAGGTTCTGGGAAAGGATTGTTAATATCCAATGCTGGCACCCGCAGCAAGTACTTGGTTTTATGGATCTCTGGAAA